CCCAGCTAATTTTTTGTATTTTTAGTAGAGACGGGGTTTCACCATGTTGACCAGGATGGTCTCGATCTCTTGACCTCGTGATCCACCCGCCTCGGCCTCCCAAAGTGCTGGGATGACAGGCGTGAGCCACCGCGCCCGGCCTGGACTCTCTCTTATCTCTGTGTCTTTCTGTCCTTCGATCTATGTCTGCACGAAAAACAGCACCCAGTAGACCCTCAGGGACTGAACCCTGCGGCTGTCACTTCTGGGGTGTAAGTGCTCGGTCTAGGTCCCTGGAATGCACTGGAGAGTCATCTGTGTGGTGAGGACGAACGCACGGGTCAGGAGGAGGTTCCCGCTGGCCGCCACCCTGCCTGGCCGCCACCTCTCTGCTGCCCAGCTCCCCAGGGAGAGCGCACGGCACCTGGTCCCCCCAGGGCGGCCCCTGGTCGCTGACCCTGTCACGGTTTTCCCCTAGAGTGCGGTCAGGAGGAGGGCCCGCACACCCGAGCCTGGCGGACATCACTGTTCATCGTGCTGGGGACGCTGCTGGCCTTGCTCTGTGCTGTCCTGCTCTGCAAAAGGTGAGCCCTTCTTGGGAACAGGTTGATAATGTCGCGAAGAACCACACCGAGGCCGGGCGCGGTGGCTCACGCCGGTCATCCCAGCACTTTGCGAGGCTGAGGTGGGTGGATCACCCGACGTCAGGAGTTCAAGACCAGCCTGGCCATCTTGGTGAAACCCCATCTTTTAAAAAAGAAAAAAAAAAAGACACACCAAGACAGTGGATCGCTCAGCAAGGGTGCCCCTTGCCGGCAGTCTTGCCAGAAGAGCACCCCTGAACAAAGGAGACAGGGACATTTATAACTTTTTTTTTTTTTTGAGATAGAGTCTCGCTCTGTCTTCCAGGCTGGAGTGCAGTGGCGTGATCTCGGCTCACCGCAACCTCCGCCTTCCGGGTTCAAGCGATTCTCCGGCCTCAGCCTCCCAAGGAGCTGGGACTGCCCGCACGTGCCACCATGCCCAGCTAATGTTTCGTGTTTTTAGTAGAGACGGGGTTTCACCGTGTTGCCCAGGATGGTCTCGATCTCTTGACCTCATGATCCGCCCGCCTCGGCCTCCCAAAGTGCGGGGATTACGGGCGTGAGCCACCGCGCCCGGCCACTACGATTATTATTTTATTTATTTATATGTTTATTTTTTGAGCCTCACTCTGTCACGGAGGCTGGAGGGCAGTGGCGCAATCTCGGCTCACGGCAGCCTCCGTCTCCCGGGTTCAGGCGTTTCTCCTGCCTCAGCCTCCCGAGTAGCTGGGACGACAGGCACCCGACACCATAACTGGGTAGTTTTTGTATTTTTAGTACAGACGGGGTTTCACCATGTTGGCCGGGATGGTCTCGATCCCCTGGTCTCGAGTGATCCACCCGCCTCGGCCTCCCAAAGTGCTGGGATTACAGGTCTGAGCTGGCAGGCCTGGACCCTTGAAAATTATTCACAGATCACGGCCCGTTTTCGTCCCCTAGCCATCCCCCATCAGGACGTCAGCGGAGCTGAAGGTGAGGGCTCTGGTGGGACCGGGGGTGTCTCCAGGGTGGAGGAGGCAGGGCTCGTCCTCCCCGGCCCTGCCCTGTGACCCTGACATAGTCACAGCGCGGAAAGCCGTACTTTCTGCTGGGGTGAGGCCCGGGTAAGGTAACACTGCCCATTTGGACGGGGAATAGGATCCGTCTTGCATGCCAAGTCTGGGTTTTCGATCACCAGCTGGGTCCCCCCAGTTCCTGTGTCCTTCTCGCTGGCTGTCAGAGCCCCACAATCTGTCAAACGGGGGCCGGGCGCGGTGGCTCACACCTGTCATCCCAGCACTTTGGGAGGCCGAGGAGGGCGGATCGCCTGAGGTCAGGAGTTTGAGACCAGCCTGACCAACATGGAGAAGCCCTTTCTTTTTTTTTTTTTTTGAGACGGAGTTTCGCTCTTGTTACCCAGGCTGGAGTGCAATGGCGCGATCTCGGCTCACCGCAGCCTCCGCCTCCTGGGTTCAGGCAATTCTCCTGCCTCAGCCTCCTGAGTAGCTGGGATTACAGGCACACGCCACCATGCCCAGCTAATTTTTTGTATTTTTAGTAGAGACGGGATTTCACCATGTTGACCAGGATGGTCTCGATCTCTTGACCTCGTGATCCACCCGCCTCGGCCTCCCAAAGTGCTGGGATGACAGGCGTGAGCCACCGCGCCCGGCATGAGAAGCCCTTTCTTTACTAAAAACGCCAACAACAAAAAATTAGCCGGGTGTGGTGGTGGGCACTGTCATCCCAGCTACTTGGGAGACTGAGGCAAGAGAATCGCTGGAATCCGGGAGGCGGAGGTAGCGGTGAGCCGAGATCACGCTCACTGCACTCCAGCCTGGGTGACCGAGCGAGACTCCATCTCCAAAAAAAGAAGAAAAATCTGTCAGGCCAGATGCAGAGGCTCACGCCTGTCATCCCAGCACTTCGGGAGGTGGAGCCGGGCAGATCACCTGAGGTCAGGAGTTCAAGAGCAGCCTGTCCAACATGGAGAAACCTCATCTCTACCAAAAACATCCAAAAATTAGCTGGGCGTGGTGGCGGGCGTCTGTCATCCCAGCTACTCGGGAGGCTGAGGCAGGAGAATCGCTTGACCCCGGGAGGCGGAGGTTGCGGTGAGCTGAGGTCCCACCACTGCACTCCGGCCTGGGTGACAGAGCGAGACTCTGTCTCTAAAAAAAAAAAATTCTGTGAAATGGGTGTCAGGTGACTTCTGTCTCCCAGGGGGCTGGAGGAGGAGGAGGGGGTGGTGACTGCTTCCGGCTGCGGGCTCAGGTCATCACCTCGGTGATCTGAGGGAGCAGGGCCTTCGCGGGAGGCGGGGGTACCAGCGCCCAGTTCCTTACACTCCTGAGTCAGGGGGTGTCTGGGCCTTGGGGGCAGGGAACATACAGGCCCCCTGAGCAGGTGACTTGAGGCTTTTGCTCGTTCTTGGCGTCCCTATGGCCTCTTCTGGACGCCTGAGTCCCCCCGGCTGATGAGGTGGTCGGTGCCGGGTGCAGAGCAGGGCGGCTTCTCTTTCCTCCCAGGTACCTCGTGATGGAGAGGCTGTTTCCCCGCATCCCTCACATGAAAGACCCCATGGGTGACGGCTTCCGAAATGACAACCTGGTACGTTGTGTTTCCTACCAAGGGAGGGGGCTGGGGGCCTGGCGGGCACTTTGGGAGGCTGAGGCAGGAGGACGGCTTGAGGCCAGGGGTTCGAGACCAGCCTGGCCAACGTGGTGAATAAAACCCCGTCTCTCCTAAAAATAGAAAAACTGCCGGGCGTGGTGGCGCGTGCCTGTAGTCCCAGCTACTGGGGAGGCTGAGGCAGGAGAATCACTTGAACCCGGGTGGCGGAGGCTCCAGTGAGCCAGGAACGCACCACTGCACTCCGGCCTGGCGACAGAGCAAGGCTCGGTCTCAAAAAACAAAATTGCTGGGCGTGGTGGCTCAGGCCTCTAATCCCAGCACTTTGGGAGGCCAAGGCGGGCGGATCACGGGGTCAGGAGATCAAGACCAGATTGGGCAACTTGGTGAAACCCCGTCTTTACTAAAAATACAAAAACTAGCTGGGCGTGGTGGTGCCTGCCTGTCATCCCAGCTACTCGGGAGGCGGAGGCCGGAGAATCGCTTGAAGCCGGGAGGCGGAGGCTGCAGTGAGTGGGCATTGCACCACTGCGCTCCAGCCTGGATAGTTTTTGTTGGTTTGGTTTGGTTTGAGACAGAGGCTCGCTGTGTCGCCGAGGCTGGAGAGCGGTGGCGTGATCTCGGCTCACTGCAATCTCTGCCTCCCTGGTTCAAGCAATTCTGCCTCAGCTCCCTGAGTAGCTGGGATGACAGGTGCCCGTCACCATGCCCGGTTTACTGTTTGTATTTTTAGTAGAGACAGGCTTTTTTTTTTTTTTTTAATTACCTGGGCGTGGTGGTGGGCACCTGTCATCCCAGCTACTCGGGAGGCTGAGGCAGGAGGACTGCTTGAACCCGGGAGGTGGAGGCTGCTGTGAATGGAGATCGCCCCGCTGCACTCCGCCGGCCGAGGCGTGAGAAGGGATGGTTTGGGAGGCGGGATGCTTGTCCAGCAGTCCTGACGGGCGGCTGGGAGAAGCTGCAGAATGAAGGGGGTGGGGGACGCTGGACTCCCAGCCCACCGTGATCGCGGGCAGTCAGTGCACCCTGCACCCCAGGGCAGAGCAGGTTTGAGCCTGCACAGCCCCGAGAATTAGGACAGTGTGTGTCTTTGAGACGGAATCTCGCTGTGACGCCCAGGCTGGAGTGCAATGGCGTGATCTCGGCTCACGGCAACCTCCGCCTCCGGGGTTCAAGCGATTCTCCTGCCACAGCCCCCCGAGTGGCTGGGGTTAAAAGCATGCGCCACCACGCCCGGCTAATTTCTGTACTTTTAGTAGAGGTGGGGTTTCTCCATGTTGGCCAGGCTGGTCTTGAACCCCTGACCTCAGGCTGCTCAGCCCGCCTCAGCCTCGCCAACTGCCGGGATGACAACCGTGAGCCCCCACGCCCGCCTGCGTGGCCACTTCCTCTTGCCTTCTCCCGTCTCTGCAGGTGGTCTGGGAGGCGGGCAGGGCCGGCCTGGAGGAGTGCCGGGTGACGGAGATACAGGTCGTGGAGAAAACCTGACACCCAGCTCAGGGCCCGTCAGGGCTGCCCGCTTCTCCCTGGCCGGGCCGGGCGCCTGCACACACTGGGTGCCAGACGCATGTTCCTGACGGTGGTGGGCACGGGAGCGGCCCCTGCTGTTCAGTCCCAAGCTGCCGGGAAGAGGGAAGAACAGAACTGTGTGTTTATTTGATAATAAACTGCTTTTTTACCCGCTCACTGGTCCCTGTCTCGGATTCAGCCACGTCCCTCCAACACTGTCAGAGAGCCTTTTCAGGTGTTTGGTTTTGGATTCAGAGTGTGGCTGTCGCCCAGGCTGGAGTGCAGTGGTGTCTTCTCGGCTCACTGCAACCTCTGCCTCTGGGGTTCAAGCATCTCCTGCCTCAGCCTCCCGAGTAGCTGGGATTACAGGCGCCCGGCACTACGCCTGGCTAATTTTTTTGTATTTTTAGTAGAGACGGGTTTTCACCCTGTTGGCCAGGCTGGTCTCGAACTCCCGACCTCAGGTGATCCGCCCCCCTCGGCCTGTCAAAGTGCTGGGATGACAGGCGTGAGCCACCGTGCCCGGCTTCCAGTGACTTGTAACAAGGTTTTCCGGTACTTCTGGGAAGCACGTTTGCTTTGCTGCTTTTTGAGTGTGTGACACGCCAGGACCGGCATTTCCGTCCTTCCCACCCCTGGGTTGTGCACAGGACCCTGCATACTGGTGTCCTTTCATTTTTTGGGACGGCATCCCCCCCCGTTGCCCAGGCTGGGGTACAATGGCGATCTCCGCCTCCCGGGTTCAAACAATTTTCTTGCCTCTGTCTCCTGAGTGGCTGGGATTTCAGGCGTGTGCCACTGCGCCCAGCTTTTTCGTAGATGCCGCTAAAAAAGCCACGCACCTCCGTACTTGCAGGAGACTGGAACTGCCCGTATCTGGCGGGGGCTGTGCCCTGGCAGGTTCAGTCGTGCTGACAGCCTGAGGCCAATCTGGGCTCTTCTCTGCCCCAACCTCATACCCCAGGGCTGGGCACTGGCTTCCCTTCCCATCCCCTCCCCAGGCCCCGTCTCTGCGATGTGGGGTCTTCCTGACCCAGCCTCTGCTGAGCGTGAGGCCTTGGGCTGCACCCACTACCCCAGTGAGGGTCAAACTGAAAACGGGGTCATGGAGCCACAGGACAGGACGCATCAGCATGGTCTGAGTATGGTGGAGGTCAGACGGCCAGGCCGGGGCGTCCTGGTGCAGGGCGAGGGAATCCAGACAGCGTGACGCTGGCAAGGAGGGTGCCCGCCAGCCCCCTGCAGCCCCAGGGGACAGTCTCAATGCCTGAGGATCTAGCTCCTAAAACACGGAACCCACCCAGGAAGCCAGTCGAAGGAAGGAACCGTGATGTTTTTCTGAGGTTTTTTTAAGGAGTTTCGCTCTTGCTGCCCAGGCTGGAGTGCAGTGGCATGACCTTGGCTCACTGCAACCTCCACTTCCCGGGTTCAAGCGATTGTCCTGCCTCAGCCTCCCAGTAGCTGGGATTACAGGCATGGGCCACCACGCCCAGCTAATTCTGTGTTTAGTAGAGATGGGGTTTTCACCATGTTGGCCAGGCTGGTCTGGAACTCCCGGCCTCAGCCTTCCAGAGTGCTGGGATGACAGGCTAAGCTACTCCTCCAGAGCAGAACTGTGACTTTGGCAGTTCTCTTGAATCACGCCCCCAGCCACGTCATCACGTGTTATTTCCTGTGGAGTCACCTCCAACACGCGGCTTGCCCAGCACCTCGCCATTTCCAGATTCTGCAGGACCGGCCGGTTGAATCACTTGAGGTTGAGAGTTCACAACCAGCCTGAAGGGCATGGAGGAATCCCGTCTCTGCTAAAAACACAGAATTAGCCGGGCGTGGTGGGGGGTGCCTGTAATCCCAGCTACTCGGGAAGCGGAGGTTGCGGTGAGCTGAGATCGCACCATTGGGCTCCAGCTTGGCCAAGAGTAAAATTCAGAGAACAAACCCGCCACCCGCCCGGGAAGCCGCCCCATTAATCCCCCAGGAAGGAACCGTGGACTTTTTTTAAGAGATGGTCTGGCTTTTCCCCCAGGCTGCAGTGCAGTGGCGGGATCTCGGCTCACAGCAGTCCGCCCACCTCCCAGGTTCAAGCAAGCCTCCTGCCTCGGTCTCCCAGGTAGCTGGGATTACCGGCAGGCGCTACCACACACCGCTAATTGTGTTCTTAATAGGGACGGGGCTGCAGCATGTTGGCCAGGCTGCTCTGTCATTCCAGCACTCTGGGAGAGGAGGATCACGAGGTCAGGAGGTTGAGACTGTCTTGGCCAATGCAGTGAAATGTTGCCTCTACCAAAAATACAGAATTAGCCGTGTATGGCGCCAGGCGCCTGTAACCCCAGGCACTCGGGAGGCCGAGGCCGCAGGGAAACGGGATCGCACCACTGCACCCCGGCATGGGTGACAGGGACTGCTGCCCACACCCAAAAACATCCTGCCTTTTGCGGCCGGGATTTCCAGACAGCCCACTGCTCTCCTGGAACGCCATGGCTGCCGTCTGCGTCCCGGCCACGGGCTGACACCACGAAGGTCCCACGTTGAGGCCGGTGGAGACTAACATGGCGTTTCCTCCCCTGCAATGGCTGTTGCGTGGAAGAGCTTGGACACAGCTGCTGCACCTGGCGGTGAGCACCCTTCCTGGTGCACGGGCAACAGCATCCACTGCGGGGACCCGAACTCCACTCGGTGCTGGAATGGAGGCTCCAGGGACCCCAGGGAGATGCCAGCAGGCAGTCAAGGAATTCAGGGGATCAGGCCTGCCTCAGTTTCCCCAGATTCAGGTTGGAACCTTCCGTCCAAGTGATGCCACTGAAAGTGGGGCGTCTCTGGGGAGAGGGGTGGCTCATGCCTGAAATCCCAGCCGTTTTAACAAGACAAGGCGGGTGGGCCACTTGAGGTCAGGAGTTCAAGATCAGCCTGACCAATATGCTGAAACGCCACCTCTACTAAAAACACAAAAGGTAGGTGCCCGTAGTCCCAGCTACTGAGGAGTGAGGAAGGAGAATGGTTTGGACCTGGGAGGCGGAGGCTGTGGTGAGCACTCCAGCCTGCGTGACAGAATGACTCTTGCCTCAAAAAAGAAAAAACAAAAACAAAAACTTGGAGGAGGGCACCTCTCTTCCCGGACTTCCAGCCTCCAGAGCTGTGAGGCGTGTGATTTACAAGCAACCCAAGGTGCTGTGGCCATACAAATGGTTTCACAGAAGGCGGTCAGCGCAGGCGCCGTGGGGGTCTCGCCATCTACTGGGGAGCCCGGCTCCCTTCTGCCAGCTGTGGTTTCAACCCCACCCCTTCCCAGCTGGGACCCCATCATGTCCCGGGGGTGCTGGGAGGAGGCAGCACCCAGACCAGGGGCATGCGGGAGAGCACGCAGCCCCGCCCGTGTCCATGGACCCAGCGCCCAGCTTCGGAGCCCGGGCTGGTGCTCCTCTGCGCGATGTGTTTCGCAGTGGGACTGCCACACGTGGAACCTGAGTACAAGTACCTGCCGTGGAAAGGACGGGCAACGCTTACGTAGAAACAGAAGACATGGTTCTCTTGTTTTAAATAAATAATTAAACATGACTTGGGTCCTACAAGCATCTGGACTGCAGGTCTGAGCACTGGAGTGTCTCACCCGGGGCCCGAGGGGACGCCCTGATTCCCTCCCCTCATGATCAAGACATGGAATCGGGTGCCGATGGCTGGATCACAGTGCGCCCCTTTTCTAGAACCTTCCCTGGCTGTCTACAGGCAGGATCCGGCTGGGAAAGAGACTGGAATTTCTGGAAGATCGGTGGTCCGCTCGGTTCAGGATTCTAAGTGATTGTGTTGGTGTGTGTGCGTGCGTGTGCATGTGTGTGTGACGGCCGCGCCCTTAGATGACCTTCTTCAGCTCATCGTACAGGACCAGCACGAAGGCGCCCCCCATGCCGCGGAGGACGTTGGACCACGCGCCCTTGAAGAAGGCCTTGCCCCCCTCGTCTCTGAAGATCTTCCGCCAGCAGTCGACGGTGCCCGTGTACATGATGTCAGCTGCAATGAGACGCAGAGTCAGGGCATCGCGGCATGTCCCTCAGGACGCGGACGCCACGTGGACCCCGCAGACGCTTCACAGAAGGGACATCCCAGACGCCTGAACCGCAGTTCTGATTACAGGGGGGGAAACTGAGGCTCTGGTTACCAATCGCCCCCAGCTCAAGCTGTCCTAAGCCACTGTCTCCACAACAGCTTGACAGGGGACTTGAGGCCCCACCTGGGGAGCCCCCCAGGTGCACCTCTGCATCCAGGCAGAGAGCAGGAGTAAGGGTGCCTATGTGAACAGCGGTCCTAGGAGGTGGGGATTTTCAGATCGCTGCCTGGACCATGTAACCTCAGAACTATCAGAAGCCGATCAAGCAGGATTACCGTGCAGGATTACTTCCACACCGCTGGGTTACTGTGTGACGCGCCACTGATAACAGGCCCTGGGGAGTGCGTCCTTCGAGGGGTCCCGGCCCACCACGGGTGCACGCCCAGGAGCCCCGGCTCCCCTCCCCGCCTCCCCAGCCCGCGGGGTACCTCCCTTGAGCACGCCCAGGAGCCCCAGCTCCCCTCCCTGACCCTCCAGCCCGCGCGGTACCTCCTT